GGAGGAACTTTCGCCTCAGCTAGTCACATTATTCGTGGAAGGAAATGGGTATTGATCGGTGGAAAACTGGCCAGCCCGTCCCCTTTTTATTGTGGTGCGCGCAAGTCGCTTTGGTCGAGCGGCTGCGGCCCGACGGCGGGCCGGCTCTCCCCCGCGCTGTAGAGAATGTTCTGTAAAACCTGCCGGTAACCTACCTACCCAGCCGCCTGGGCCTGCTCGCCCGCAGCCATTAAGGACCGTGGAATCCAGAACGGGCCAGGTCCTGGAGGATGTGCAGAGGAGGAAGCCATTGGAGGATGCCCGAAATGGACTCGCGTACGAAAATTGCAGTTTTTCACCTGGAATACCGGTAGGGCAAGCGAACCTTGGACGGCCATTACGAGTGTACGTAGACCGTGCGCCGTGCGCCGGGAGTCTGAGAGCAATGAGACGTCCGCTATGATTACAGTGTACGCGCGTGGCGTGTCTTTTGGATTTTGCACTATTTCGTATTATTGCAGATTTGTTTCGAACTATTTCAGTATTTTTCAAAGGTTACGCGAATATTTCGCCTCCATTTTCGCTCGCAATTATTTCCCGCGCAGTAGTGCGACCTATTTCGCAACTGAATTCCCCTTCGGCTAGGCAAATCCGCCCGCACTGGCGCGTGCAAAGAAACACCCGGTCTGCTATCTTCATTGGCTGAGCGAGAGCGAAGCTCATTACTCCACTGTCCGAAACATTTTGTAGAATTTATACTGATGCATCGATTATCGATTGGCGTTTGGGGCGTTTATTGGATACCCTCTAGTGGATTTCCGAGGCCTCTGATTGGCTGATTTCTAACTAGACAACCGATACAAGCATATGTTTGTACTTTCTCAAAAGGTAACTCGACAAATCAGAAGAAGCTCACTACGAGCTGAAATCAGAGATCCATGGGTCAAGACTCTGGCACGAAATCTGTCCAAATCGGAACTAGCCAAACACCCGAACAGCTGCTCAGGTTCCGTCGCTTCGATTTTGAATTGATTGGTCCTCGACTGTTACTGTGGGAATGTTGGGATGTTGCGGGCGCCGGGGGATCACCCCTGATCATTACCTGTTAACTCATCTCGGGTGTCAGTGCCGCAGGCCTCGCTACATGTGCGCCAAGCGCGTCGCAGTCTAAGTGCGTTTCATAAGATATAGCGAAGCCTGGTACGCGAGACGTGGTCTGGCCTGGCACACATAGGTAGTCATAATTAAAGCGAATGTCGCATCGCATTCCGTGGTGCTAAGCAAATGTCCTTAAGGGGAAAACGAAGCTAGTGTTGTAAATCATCGTAAACCATGCTTTATTTACTTTTGCATCCATGCCCGCCTGTAAAAACAAACGCGACCAAATGCTGGCGTAGAACCCAAACAAACACAAGCGGCATTAAATTATTAATCCTCGTTGCATAACGCGCCGCAGGCGCCGCGCGTAAACCCCGAGGTGGATGCAACAACACGTCGGCAACGGACGGGGATGAAAAATTGCGAGCAACACGTTGGAAATATATATACGGGGCCTGCCGCCGTTGCTCGCGAGAGAAAGCTCAAGGAGCGTCCAGAACAACAAACGGATACAGTCCGGCGCGCCGCCTGTCGCCGCGAGGCGCGCTCAGTCCAGCCGCGTCCAGATAACGTGAGGGAGTTCGAAGTTTTGAACCCGCGGCTCATGAGCGGGCTCAGCAAACAGGTGGGGCTTTGACGAGGCATTTGCTACTGAAACGATTTAGAGAGGGCACTCAAAACGGTTCGGCTCAAGACTGATCAATTTCCAGGTTCCACAACTTTGTGAGTAGGAAATTAGAGATACTAAATATTGAGCTCTTTCTTATTCCAGTAAAATCAAAGTATTGTGAGATCCTAACTGTCAATTTTTGTGGCCATCGTAGAGGAAACGCACGTCCGGATGACGGGGACCTCCTTGAGACGGCTGGATTGCATTGGGCCAATGAATAAGCCTGCGATGAGCGCGACTGCGCGCAGTTCAATTTTAAAAAGGGTTACGCGACTGCTTGTTTGTGTGTTTGGTCCGAAAACTTTGAGCATTCGCTCAACTCTGAGGGAGATAGCGGCTAGTGGAACAGTGCAGATCTGTCTCTCTCGATCCGGATCGCACACCAATCGAGCTGTCGGGCACGTGCGCACCCTACGGATGGAGGCAAGAAACAAGAAACATAGGGAGCGTTGCAAAGCTGTGGAAACCCACGTGGCAGGTTAACTACCCCCCCCCCCCTCCTTTTCCAGCACAAGACGCGATTGGGACATGTTTAGAGTCGCCAGCGATATGGAAAAAATGAGATCTGCAGTAACCAGGCAGCATAGCAAGCGCGGAGCCTCGGCCAGAGCGGGCTTCGGAAGATATTTATTTAATTAACGATGTAGCAAGTACGCGCGGCAGTGCGTGCAGGCGGGGCGGGGCGAGGCGGGGTAACGAGGAACGCCCTCCCAGAAGGAGAACTACTCTTCCACGCACTAGCCGCGCCGATACCAACCACCACCCAAGGGGAACAAGCCTGGAACAAGCCTACCCCCATTCACACATCGACAGGTCGGCGGCGCGGCGTAGCGTGGCGTAGCGTGGCGCAGCGGCCCGTCTCAGTTCGGTTCCCAAAGCAGCCTCAGCCTAGCCACGCGGGGCGGGGCGGGGCACATCGGCCATCTCAGTTCAAAACTACACGCACTGCCTACTTGCAGGCCTGTCATTCGGCGGCTAAACGAAGGGAAACCATTGGGGCACAAGTAATACACTGCTAACCAATCCAAAACAAATCAAACAAAACCAATACACACAATGCTGCTTGCAAGCACACACAAAGGGGAGTGTACCGGGTGATTCAGAGAAGACGCAGGTGCAGGCGGGTTTGCCAACCCTCTCTCCCGTAAGGCGCCATGGCCCCTTGCGGGTACGCAAGCCCGCCCGCACCTTGCGTCTTCTCTGAATCACCCGGTACTTGCCATAGTACACACAAGGAAGCGTGCACTGGGAGTATCGTATCAGAGCGGACGCAGCAGCAAGCAGCAGTGTTGCGGGATTGCATACCCTATCTCGCCTTACAGGCGGAGGGAGTAGAAAAACGATGCAAACCCATACAACTCTGCAGCGTCTGCTCTGATGCACCCGGTACCTTACCTATGGTAGGCACACACTTCCTTGTGTGTGCGAAGTACACTGTTGGGTGTGCTAGAACCGGCTAGGACGTTGAAATGAGCACGTCAGCTTCGGTCTATCAGAGCACTGAGCTTCCCTGCTTTCCACGCAAAGGCTTATGGTGAATTTCGCGGTAGAATGTTGTGCAGTGTATTATCACTACACGTAACTGCAGTAGTGCGTGTTGATGACCAGGGCTTACGGCCACGAGCACGTATGCCAAAGCGACATAAAATATTACGACGGTGCAACCGACAACCACGGAAATGGGGAAGGAAGGGACAAAACGGTCGTGACCCAGAAAGACGCGCATCTCCCGCTCCAGCAGCAGTCATCAGCCGAGGGGGTTATGTATCGCACACGTCCGAATAGGTTTTGGTACGTGCTCCAGGGGTGCCAACCCAGCCCGCCGTGACGCAACGGCCGCGAGTTGGGTTGGCACCATCGCCACTCTGGCCTTGCCCTTTGAGGTTTTGGCGCGGCGCAAAAATGTCATTACTGCCCTTTCGACGACATTCCGACTTCCCGCGCCGCGCCGCGGCATAACCATAGATGCTTTAGCTTTGGCCTCACAAAAGATTCAAAGGACGCAAACGGGGGAGGTGTTCACACTAAATAATGGGAAGGTACCATTTTGTCCCAAGAAAAGACGCAATTTCGTAATCATTCGCTTGATATAAATTCGTAACAGTTACAAAAGACAATTTGAACCAGCCCCGCAATACAAACCGCCCCGATAGGATAGTGCAATATGTCCCGAGGAAATGATATTCACATATTAGCGACAATTTTGGGGAAATAAAGAAAGTTATTTCCCATTCACAGGATTCCAGCGATGGGAACATTCCGCGGGCCAGCAAAGAGACCGTAATTCGTCTAGTAGAGCTGGTGTACTCTTTCTGGGTGTACGCGACGCGTAAGTAGCCGCACAGTCGATCTATCATTTAGGAAATTGAGCGACCAGCACTAAGGTTTCGTTGCGTCCTCGACAGTGGCCCAGTGCGGTTCTTCCAGCAGAGCCTCTACTACTCCACTGTCCCGCCCGCACTTCACGGCGTCCAGCCCGCATGGCGTCAAATAGTGGGCGTGGTAAGAAAGGAAAATAGGGGGGGGGGCAGCAGATTCCAGCTTTTCACTGAGCAACGACATTCAGTCCTAATGACGGTGAGAAACACTGTCACCACTCCCGCAGCATCCTCCTCCTCCTGATGAGCTCCCTCCCTCCCTCTCACTTCACCCTCATCTAAACTTTCGAGAGGCGGAGAGGAGGGGGAGGGGGGCTATAAATTGTGACGCGAAAAATGCGGACGCGGCGGACGCGGGACCATCAAGGTTTCGCCTGAAAACTGCGTTATTTC